GGTCGTCTATCGCTCCCAGGTTTTCTATGGTGGTCTAGCTTCAAATAACTCATGAGTTCAACTAATAAATAGCAAAATGTTATATTAATTATTACTAGAGTAACAGTATGTTATATTTTCAAATTTTATTAAGAATTTCCATCGAATAAAATATTAAGTAGTTTCAGCTATGGCAACTTGACAAAAATATTCAATTAATTCCACCTGACGTGGCCACAAATATACCTGTTAATTTAAATATGAGTTATCAAATATAGTTGTAACCTCTGTTGCTTCTTCAATTCTCCAGTTAATAATGTTTCAAATGAACATTCATAATAGTTTATTAATAACAATTATCACTTTGCTACTTGCTTGTTGTGTTAACGTCGCTTATTACTTATATTTGAAAAAAAATACGACGAACTACTTCGTTAAGGGCGCAGTCTTACCGCTTTTACATGTCAGTCAGGAACCAATGCAATTCCTCAATACTGTTGTTTATACTTGATAATGGGAACCTCTGTAATTACTACGAAGCGAACTAAGAACACTAAGACTGGTACAAGTGGAAATTTATTCACCTTGAAAACATGACAACGATGACTATGATCGAAAATACACTCACTGATATTATATTGAATGGTACACGTATTTTGATTATTAATTAGAATAAAATCACGTATATGAACAATACCCAGAGTTATAACAAAGTCACAAACTACATATCATGCTAAATAGAATTTGATATAAGAATAATCTATTTTGAATAAACATTAAACTTAAATAAATTAATGTTATACTAAATAAAACAATATACAAGACAAAGCAAATACTCTGCCGATTTATCCCGTCATATCATGGTTGATCCTCTAGCACAGAAAGACAGACTTCGTAGGTGTGAAAATTTTTTCTATATAATTGTCAAAAAAACAATAGGAAGTCAGGCATTTTGATTAATTTTTATAATTTAGCAATGCAGAAACTTCTAGTTACGACATCTGCAGCTCCTTGTCACTAGTGAAACGAACTTATTCTAAATCATCTCTCTATATGAACTACTTTACCTGTAAATTTTCTAAACTCTGGAATAATCTACCACAATCTATCCGTACGATAAAATCGCTCCCATTATTTGTTCACTGCATTGATGCATATTGCTCCTCTGAAAATGCACTGAATGTTCTAGCAACTGTAAGTGTATCTCATTCCACAAGTGATATTATAGAAAATTTAAATGTTTAGCCATTATTATTAGTGAATTTACGAAGTAAAACCACCTACCTGTTGTCACTTTATGTTAACACTGTCCCTAGCAACTTTACATAATTCTAATAATATCTAACATCAACAGTATATCACTGTATCACATTACATGTACATTTTGGTAGACCTGATTGACATATTTGAGTAATTACTGCTTTGTTGTTCCGTGCTATCTGTTTTCGTTTTAATTTCTCCAGTTGTAGATAATCATCATGAATTCTATCTGGCACAGAAAATGACCTTAATTACACCGTTCATAAATCAATAGGCTGTCCACTTAAGAAAAATTAAAAGTTCCAGGCTGATACGTTGGATCGTTGTAATACATGTACTACCGAAACAATTAATGAACCAGTATACTTAAAACTATATTCTATCGCACGTTTGTTCTCTAAATTTAATGTTACTATTTATATCAAATTGATCATGCCTGTAAACTGGCGTGAATTCTGTAATTATTATTTTCAGAATACATGTATATTATAACCAATTAAGGAGGAGACCAGCTAAAAGATCAAGAGTAATTTAACCGTAAGTTTGTATCGGACAGAACTTCATTGCGATATGGATATTATTCAATCTGCCATAACCGAATTTCAACTGATAATACAAATTTCGGAAAGTTTTACAGAGAAGCCTAGCCCACGCATTAAAGTTCCCATCTATAAACACAATTTCTAATGAATGGGCTTGATTCTAGTGACTCCTTTATCATTTGTGGCGGACATGCAGTTGATAAAAAGATATTGTCCCGCTACATATTTAAAACTTTGACTGAGCCTTTCATTATAACATCGCCTCAAAGTGTATACAGCCAAAAATTGTTGCTTTGATTCTAGCACTTAGTTTGATACTGACACTCATGAAATCAGAAGTCGGTGACACATAGTCTGTAGACAGATTAGTGTGAAACATAATTTCCAAACCGAAAATAATTCAAGGTACCTCACTATAATTTTGAATCCAGAGGATTTGAATTGTTCATTAATCACTATAGAGAACTTTCAGTCATACCCAGAAATTCCTATTGCCCGGCCTATATCAGGGTGTAATTTCATAAACTCTGTATCAAATAACGCATTTACCGATAGTTATCAGAAATACCGGTTTTAGGTGATATCGTGATTTCTTCAAACCTAACAATATCAAACATAATATCAGGAACCAAGAGCTGTAAGTAGCTTAGTATTCATCGTACCGATCTAATTCATCCATTAAAAGCACTGATGTACAGTGAAACTATGGACTGAGAAATACCGAAAGTGCCAAGTCTTTAGACCAGTGAAGTAGACGAATCGTGTTACGGATGTCAAGTAAGTACATGACGAAGGCAGAAGGAATAAATACTACAGAGAGTAGGGGTAACCAAAACAAGATAAAATAACAGTCTGTGAAGTCACTGATTGTCATTCTGATTCACGTAAGGAAATGTAGTGATTCAAGATATGGCTTTTGAGATTTGTTTCCGAAAACTAAAGTTGGTCAATCAAAATGGTACAGATCCACAAATGCTTATTTCGTAAATTTTCAGTTGCATTGACTATCTATCCTCTCTTGCCTCGTACCCTTTGGTGAATAATCATGTGTCTCAATAGAACAAAAACTTGACATCAAAAAGTAGGGTTATAAGTTTGCATCTAGTTCTATCAAACATCAGTCGTTTATTGATGCTAACACATTAACCAGATTTGACTGGTAGTCTGTTTTGTAGAATGTTTTCAAATTTTCAGGTAGTATGGAAGTCTCATTTCTGTTATTGTACTGAGCAGTAATTTTATGTAGTGAGAATACCATCGACCGTAAACTGTCAGTAGTTGAGTGACGCTGTTTGAAGTGAAGGGAACAAAATAGCGAAATTACATTTTACAATCATTGCAATTCATATTCAATCTTACTTCCATTTTTAAATTAATCTAATGTTTACCCAGTATAATATTTGCTTTATTTTCAATGTAATATTTCACTCAGTTCAACACTGATTTATTTTCCTATGGTGTTTCTACAACACGACATATTGTCTGTATCAAATTAACGTGAACTATGGTCAGCATGACGTGCAACTTGCAACGTGCAATTTCCTTATGATTTCATATATGTGACTTCATTCTAATTAATAATCGAGTGGGTATACAAATCAATATATAAATGAGTGTATTTTTGACTCGAGTGGTCGGTGTCGTGTTTTTTATGTGAATAAATCTCCATTTGTACCAGCAGTCTATTATGTTGTAGGAGTTGTAGTGGTTACATTTCCAAGTTTGAGCTACAGTATTGAGGAACTGCAATGGTTCCCGAGTGATATGTAAAAGCGGTAAGACTTCCTTCCCTCCCCAACGAAGTCGATATATGTCTGACCTCATTGACTGCCCAGATATAATAGTTTATTTTTTAGTTACTACACTGCTGACGGAGACAGTTCTTAGGCTAAAATAACAAAATGCTTACATAGAAATTGTTTTCCAACATGAAAAATGAATAAACCAGGTGGAAACATATTCATAGTTGGGTGTACAATGATAAAAGATATGTATGTTTATTGATGTTTTTTTGGGGTATTAGGAAAATATTATAAAGTATCTTATCCATGTATTTCATTTCGGAGCTTCGAAGTTTGAAGACATTAACTGATGCTGATGGACTTATTTGGGGAGCAAGTTCTGACCAAACAATCAAATAATTTATTGAAAGTACTACTGAACCAATAATATGATAGTATTTACTTCCATAGTATGCTAATATTCTAATGAATATGGAGAGCATGCACACTACATCTTTGAAATAGATTCCTTTAGATGAACCATCTATATTCACCAACTTTAGTGACACTTAATCTGACATTTCAGTTGTACATTTTAGTCATTCTGAACCAGTATAACTATCATTGAGATCTGCATCAGGTAAATGTATTGATTTTTCATGCTGTTCATGACACTGACAATCAATATTTTTGAAGAAGTTTAAGTATCCACTCTGCTATCCAAAACCAAATTATATTTTTAACCACTTGTCTAGTCACAAATTCAACAATGCAAGCACATTATATTGAGATTTTAAGTAGTTGTAGGTAGTTGACAGGAAAATCTAGGATTCTGGTTATTTGGCACTACATTAGACTTTTGTGGAATCAGTGTAAAGTATAGAGAGACCAAAAATCTCGTTTTGAATGATTAACACCAACAACAACAAAATAGGCAAAGTTAATGTACAGAACAATAACCTTTCTCCATTATTTCTACGTGATCAAGTGAGCTTGTGAATTAGGAAACAAATCAAATCAATTGAATTACGTCCCGACATTATTATTTATAATTTCAAGTAATAAGCCTAAAGTAGAAATTGCTTATAATCAATGAAATTTAATGCAATTAGTCCTTTTGATAAATCTGTATAGTGTAATAAGAAGACGAATATTCTCAGAACAATGTAATAATGTTCGAAACGAATTGCGCGAACATATCGCATACTTATCAATCTAATGTAAGTTCAAATCAATGAAAATGTTATCTTTAATCATCATTCGATATGTTATCTTCATGACCAGATAAATTGACCAATGATATAAGTCGATACATGTTTTGGCAATATGTCTATCACACAATTTAAACCAATCTACTTTAAGAAAGGTGTGAGGCGTGATTTGTAATCATATGACCTTGAAACAATGTGTTTGGCTGATTGAAAAGGAATAAAGTGATGCTAGTATATTATGTTGTGTCAGGTATAAAGTCACGTTGTTTATCCGTTAATTCTGGCTCATGGTTTCTTGGTCTACAATCATTAGTCTCTTGATTAATGCCAACATAATATTATTGAATGCTATTCCGGTCAGAGATACACCTCCACAACTGTTTGGTTTGATGTATGCTGAAGAAACCAAAAGCTCACGAGAACGATACCAGCTTAAACATGATGAAACAAATCCGAACTCTTCAATGTATATTTATGATTACCATAATGAAGGAGATGCTATATATGTGGTAATCAGTATTTCTAAAAAGGACTTGGAGTTTGTAGACAATTATCAGATCAAACCTGTTATATGCTTAATCAACTACAGCAGTCATGTGCCTTTAGCTTTATCCTATGACTTGGATTTTACGTTATCCGCAGAGCTTGTTAATCAATCGTGGTATTGGTTACCACCTTCATTAAATGCGAGTACAAATATATCAGTTTATATATTACCAAAATTAGTGGGACTAGACTATTTGGTATTTTGGATTCGTCAAGCGAAACCAAAGCATGGATATATTAGTCCTACTCCTTGGTTTGCCAATAATTCTGAGACCCTCAGGAAGCAATATTTCGACAGTTTAGTAATTGACTATCGACTCAATGTCTCTTTATATAATAACCAGGATTATAATGATGACAACAATAAAAACAACACAATGGGTTTTCCCGTAATTGTAACTGCAGATAAAGGCATTGGTCATCTAGTTTTCCGTATCATCGTCATAATCATGGTGACTGTATTCACATTCACAATGGGGTGTGATTTGGAAGTTCCTTTGATCCTGCATCATTTCAAAAGACCCATTTCTGTATCAATTGGGTTCTTTTGTCAATTTTTTTTTATGCCATTGGTAAGTAGTTTGTCTATTTTTTAAAAACGTTGAGAATATTCAGTCAAGTAAGTATTATAGTCTTCAGTCCCAGTATCAGAAGGGGTTTTGTGGTTAGTGTGGTAATGTGTCGCTCAATTTCATGGATTGGTTGAAGTTAGACATTAACACCGTTAGATGCTGCTTCAGTGGTCTAGTGGTTAAGCGTTCGCGTGCGAGATCGATAGATCGTTGGTTCTAATCTCGCGAGGCAGGATCGTGAATACGCACTACTGAGGAGTCCAACAGTAAGACGAAACAGCCGTCTAGTGCTTCCAGGTTTTCCATGGTGGTCTAGCTTCAACTGACTCATAATCTCAACTATTAAAATGACTTCAGTTTCAGTTTGGAGAGGATAGGAAGCTGGGTGTTTTGTGTTATTCTTGGTAATGGTGGTGATGAGAAACCACGATATATAACGTGTTTTTTTCTTCAAACATGTAAATGATTAGTGTACACATAAGAATCACATAAGAGTGAAAATATGCGTAAGACTAAACTTTCGTATAAGTTAATATGTATTCGTGTAAGTCGGTGTTTAGGTACAACATTTGTGGAGCCGAATAAAATAACAGTGACAAATAAAAAAAAATGTGCTTTTGTGTATTGAAAAATGTACAAAATCAGTTGGATATGAGGGGTTCAAACTAATCTCCTAATAATTTACTTTACTTACTTACGCCGACCAGCATTCTCCAACCCACTCTGTCCTGGCCCTTCCTTTCTAGTTCTATTCAATTTTTGTTCATTCTTCTCATGTCTGTCTCCATTTCTCGGCTTAATGTGTTCTGTGGTCCTCCTATCCTCCTTTGGCATTGAGGATTCCATGTGAGGGCTTGCATTGTGATACAGCTAATAATAAACACCTAATAATTTGAAATCAGTATTAAATCTATTAAACATAATGAAGCATCTCAGAAAAACTGATAAATCAACCTTACATTTAAATGAATTAGTAAACAGCCTATCATAAGTGATAGGTATCATTACCAAGGTTTAACTTGATAATTTAGAATAAATTGAGCATTGAGTAGATTGTTACAAATAAAACTGATATACTTGTAGATAACTCAATGAGTGGAAGGAAAATTAAATTTTCTGACGTTTCGTGACTTAGTGTGAGCCACTTCTTCAGACGATAAATAGCCAAAACAAAATTAATTCATGTTTTATTAGTACAACAGAACAACAAAAATGTTTAAACTTTGATTTATTTTGTTTTGGTTATTTATTCTCTGAAGAAGTGGCTTACACTAAGTCACGAAACGTCAGAAAATCGAATTTTTCTACTCATTGGGATATCTACTAATATATTAGTTTTACTTATACCATAAGTGATGTGTATTTTAGCAATTTTCATGCCTACTACTCTTTCAAACTATGATCCAATGCTTAGTGTTCAGTGAAGTTGAAATGAATAGTAGAAGATTTAGACTTGGAACTAAATAATCAATTGTTGACATTCTCTACGTCGTTTTATTGAATAGTGCGATATCATCTATAGGAAATCATAATGTAATTAATCTTCAAAAAAAAAAGATTTTTTAAAAATTCGATGTATATTCTGTTACTCGATGACATGATGAAAATTTCAGTATTCCTTTGTTTATCCCAAAATTGTATTGCTACATGATGTTGGTAGTATCATATCAAATCTGTACCATCAAAATATCTTCGACTACTTGAGCTAAAGCGCAAAGCTAACCAAGTTCATTTTAAGATAATTGGTTATCTTTATTAATTTCGTCCCAGTAACTAATTATTTGTTTTCATATTAAAATTTGAATAGTACCGATTGGGTATGATTTAACCATGCTACTTGGTTGGGTCTGAGTTCTGACTCGAGCTAAGTGTTTAAACTAGTCTGTTAAATATCTAATAGTTTTTAATTCTATTTAGTGTTAGTAATTTCTATTGTCATTTTGTCATTCATGATAGCTTATCATTTCTTTCCGTTGTCGGTTATTTACATTTGTGCTTCTCATACTAAAAACAAATAATTAAGCATCTACTTACTTGTTCTACATAAGGTATTTAAAACAAATGCTTAATCGCAAACAATTCAGTTTATTATAGAATATGCATATTTCTAATGATAAAATGCAGAATAGTATGTTATATACTTGCTATAACCGATTGTGGTCACGTATAGTTTAAGCTAGAGAAACTGGTTTATTGGATTCGTTCAGATAGTATGAGTGATTGATGTATTTTTCTCAAGAATATGGTGCTTTTGCCTGATATCTGATAATATTAATTTTACGACACATATTATAATAACAATTTTCAGCATGATTTAATCAGCCAATCTATGAAATACTGTTACCTTCTTATATAGAACTTTTATAAAATTGCATACCCTTTGTTTATATTATTAGTTAATTTAATGCGTACATATTCACTGAATTTTCAAGTAAATATCACGTAGTATGAAGTGGATAGGATTTTATCTATGTGATCATTATGAAATATCTTTACTTGATCCATGATGTCATTGTGTAATGATAATCCTTCGGGAAATATCATTTGAAACTACACATTATCTGTTAACATTAGGAACTCTCAGACTATACACATCAATTTACAACCTGATTTTTCAGAAGGATTCTTCAACGTTAACTATTAGTATATCGATAGATAAGTGTGATATAACTTATGAATCGGAGTCATTCAATGTACGCACATTTATTGAGTGAAAATAAAATTTGATAACTCATATCATGATTTTTATTTTTATGTAGTTAGTTATTATTTAGTATTTGTCGACGTAGATGTTTTATGATATTCTCGAAATTCCATGATAAGTCCCTACTTGAACAGATGAATTTATGAAAATTAGATTTTCCTTATTAAAACTATTTTATATTCAGATAATGCGTTGCTTAAAAACTAAATTGATTATTTATATAACTGTATTTTAGATTGCGTTTGGTATCGCAAAAATTATACCAATTAGGTCGGATTTTGGCTTTGGTTTACTTACTATTGCTTGTTCTCCAGGTGGTGGTGCCAGTAATGGTTGGTGTCTTCTACTCGGAGGTGATATTAACTTGAGTATATTAATGACATTCATTAGTAGTTTATCGGCTCTTTGTAAGTTCAATCTACTAACGGTTTGATAAAATTTATTTCATATATAAATCTTTTGTAAGTATTCAGTAATATACTTTTTACATTTATTATAGGTAACAAGTTTGTCTGGAACTGTTTAATCTATTCAGTCATAAAGAAGCTTTACTAAAAAATGTATATTAACTTATAATAAGGTTACATCTAGTACTGTTCAAAACAAAACAAAACAAACTAATTTTGTAGTGTATTAACCGACAGAATTTATGTTTAGTTGAGAAACTTTTATAATTCATAGTCTATAAATCTGCTTATTTTGTTTAAGTATTTCTTTTATGTTCATTATTTCATTATACTTTGATCAGTATTTCATTTAGATGTTAAATTAACTTATCAATAGTGAATATACTTTTCTAAATTCCAGTTTTTATTTACCACTAATAGAAACCATTAAGATATTAGAGTATAGTGTAAGTATTTATTTGCCCCTAAATGCCCTTGGTACGGTTGAGAGTAGGGATAGTCAGCTCAGCCTCTCAAAATGTTCTCACATAGTCACTACTAGGGAAGTCCTACTCACTGCCTTCTCGGAGCAGGGGTGTTTTTTTACGAAATCGAAAGGACGTAAAGCGAATGTCCTGCGCTTTAATCGGGCTGGTGGATACGGAAAGTTTTATACATTTTCTCAGAAGTAGATTGTTGAATGGTAATTCATTTTTTAGCATTACATAAAGGGATTGCTAAAAAAATCCTGGTTAAATGACCCGTCTTTTTGTTTATAAAATGAAGTGAATAAGTTAAGCAATCAATATACCTATATTCTTTCAACTGTACGATGAAATTCAGTTTTGAATATATTTCAAAGGATATAAGTGAAATATATTGATGTGAGAGGTTTAGTTAGGACACATACATCAAACATTTGTCTTCATATTCTATACAAAACAACTCATTACTGTGAATGAGTTAATTCTTAAAAGTTTGTTATCGTAATAAGAACATTTAAAATCTATCTAGAAAACAAAGTAAGTTATCACCACAAGTGTTAAATAATAAACCTTAGATATTGGTTATTCGTTAGAGGTAGACAAAATTTTAGACCATACAACTTCTATATTCTAATTAACCAACTTATTATTAGGTATTAAAAAATAGCCATGTCAACTTATCATTTATATGAGTATCATCGTCAAAATGAAATTTGATCATCTCCAACATTGTATAGTGGTTAGATTGTTTACGATAATAATAATAATAATAATAATAATAATAATAATAATAATAATAATAATAATAATAATATATTTGTCACTTCTTCGGCAGCAACTCATAGGAAATCGTGAAACACCTAAAATTCAACGTTCCTACCCATTGTTATACTGAAAAAATATTTTTTTAATTTCTATTTGGATAATTCGGTTTTATCAGAAGGGGTTTTGTGGAGATTTTAGTCATTTCAATAGTTGAAATCATGAGTCAATTACAGCTAGACCATCATGGAAAACCTGGAAGCACCGGACAGCCGTTTCGAACGCTTCTGATAATAATCATCTGCTCACTAGTGATTGACTTCAAGAGGCATTTTCTGGAGTTCTAGTGTGAAGCCGTGACCAGTGGAGTTTAACCAGGTCTGTTGTGAGATATCAGCTCACTGAAGACAATAGTGTACAGTTGTGCGATTTCGTGGATTGGTTGAAGTTAAACATTAACACCGTTGGATGCAGACTCAGTGCTCGCGCTGGAACATACTTTTATAATATTTGGCATCCTTGAAAAAGGGGAACACATTTGATTAATAATTATTTGAGATATGGATGAGGTTAAGAGCAGCAACTCCTGGTGTGTTGCTTCTTTGATTGATTTGTTTTATATCCACATGAAATTGGACACATTGAAATCAATAAATTAACAAGAAAATGTATTTAATAATTTCAATACTGTTAGAATGTTTTCATAAATACCATTAAGAATCAATCAATACTAAAGAACTGTTTCTCTTTGTAAATGAATTATTAATCTTTAATCTCTGTTATACTGTTTCACATGACTGTGTATAGTAATGTCATAAATCGTGGTAACCGTTGTTTTTGTATTCATTTCTTGTTTCATTTTTTTTATTTATCTACAGTCATGATGCCTCTTCTTCTATTCATCTACGGTCGATTCTTCATTGATGTGACCAAAATAAAAATTCCATACGTCAATATTGTCTTCCAGTTATTACAAGTAGCTATACCCGCATTAATGGGTTTAGGTCTACGTATATGGAAACCGAAATTAGCTGTTAAATGCGCAAAGTTAACACGTCCATTATTTTATGTATTCATAGTATTCTTTTTAACTATTGGTGTGTACATTAACTGGTCCTTAACTCGTCTATTAGGTGTATATCCTTTACTTATTCTTACATGTGCACTATTACCTTGGCTTGGCTTTTGTATAGCATCATTATTTACATTAATTCTACGACAATCACGTAAATTAGTTATTACAGTGGCCTTAGAAACTGGTATACAAAATATTGGTGTTGGAATACTTGTTTTATTGTATACAATGCCAAAACCAATTGGTGAATTAGGTGCTATCATGCCAATTACTGTAGCTATACTTACACCTATTCCTTTGTGTCTAATATATTTAGGCTTAGTAATCAAGCGTAAATGTTTTGACCATCAGAATGAGCCTGTTATTCATGATCCTTGTGAAATTGAACCCCTCAGTGCCACGAAAATAAGTAGTAAATGCAGTAATGACATAATGAACCCACCAACTGATACCATTAAATCACCTACACAAGTATCGTTAACAGATACAACTGTTACCATAAACACCACTGTCCCTCATGAACGTATGTAATAGAACTCGTGTAAAGTCAGGTTGGTGGTGTATTTCTCACTGCCTTCTATTTTTGAATAGCAATAATTTTGTAGTGTGATAATATGCAAATCTTTTTAGTTTTCTATAGAACCGTTTCAGTTTTAAATTGAACTTTTCTCAATTCATCTATCATTGATCTTATCAAACACAGTATCTTACTTTTCTCGTCTTAAAAAATGTAATCAGATTTCAGGAAATAGAAGAATCATTCTTACCTACACAAATATAGACGTAATTTAAGTATCTTGACAATGAGTTTCTTTTTTTGAATTTCAAAGCATTCATTTTCACTTGTTTTCTGTGATTTATTGTCCTACCCTTAGTTTTGTGATAAATGTTCTCTTTTCGTAGAATAAGATTCTGTTTTAGTCAAGTTCAGTGAAAAAAATAATAAAAACTTCCCAACTGTGAAAGTCAAAACCTTAATTTATCCATCATGAACAGTAGCAAATAAATGTAAAGAGAATGAATGGAACATACTTAATGACTTAATAAAAATAATGAAGACAATTCAGCAAAGGAAATTTTCTTTTGGTCATTATTGTCTTTTTAAACGATCCAGTTGTATTTATAAAAACGTCTTTTTTACATTTGGTAATCGTAAAATAGACGAATGTTACCAAATTATCAAAAATTATTAATTTTATTCAAACACTGACTGAAAAAGCCTATGAAACTGAAAGGTGTTTCATCATTTAACAAAGATTATCGAGAGATTTTGAATATTGAATATGATTGTATATATAAACAAAGTGGTTAGAATTTCATTAGAAAAATTGTCAAGGATAAATTGCGGCTATGGACAAGCTTACTTCATTTCGTGGTGTAGGTTATGTTAGCCGTATGTATAGTAGTAGAGTAGTGATCTTCCACCATACGAGCTAAACCAAAATCAGCTACTTTAACACAATTATTTTCTCCAACTAAAATATTACGTGCGGCTAAATCACGATGAATATAGTGCTCTTTTTCCAAATAAGCCATTCCATTAGCAATCTATTATGATAAAGAATAAATACAAAACAGAAAACAGATTAGGTAATTAGAAACGCATAGTAAACTGATCCACACACAGAATCATCAGCACTGGAGGATAGGTGTCTGACAAAATCTCAGCACACATTCGAAAAGCCAGGTAGATTTACGCCAACTCTCGATACTTGTGATGCAAGTTAGACAACCGTCTACCAACCAGTTTCTGAGTATAGTGTGCAGAATTCCCCACTGTATTACTCTATGCCTGTGAAACTAACTAAGGTAGTAAAGGTTGTGAGCACACTGCGACATTTTAATTATACGTACATTCAAAACGCTCTTCCTGAATATTGGGATAATGGAGTAGGTGATTACGAGATTAGACGCAAGGTACTGGGTAAATATGGTACATCAACTGTTAATGTAGTGAATATTGATTGACTGAGGAACATGAGATGAGTATCCCCAAATACCGTCCATCTGGGCAGGCGGTGTTTGCAACTGTATTCATAAGTTGAAAGAAGTTTAATGTTTGTTGAACTAAAACGAGACGTCTGTCCGTGAAGTCACCAACTAATGGTCTAAGCTATGTAGTTAATTGAAGACTACCTGTTTGAATTCGCTTTCAGTAACCACTATCAGTGGTTGAAGACGTTAGGGGGCATGATCAAGAATTGGTAAATGTAGAGGGGATGTATTCGTTTTATCTTCTCTTCAATCTTGAGTATTAAAATTGTCCTATACTTTCTATTCCGCGGATTTCGTAAATTACATTATCCATAATTTATCTTTTCTGCTACCACCAATACTGTGACCACTTCTAATACTCTGATATTTGTTTTCATAATTTCATTCCAATACATTCATATGGTGTGGCAACTTAAACTGATACACAAATTAGTGAGAACGGAGTAAACCAATGATATGAATTATGTTTTACACTGACAACTAATCACAGTTTGTCTAAACGTTGACATAATTCAACTTACCAACAAATATTTAATCTAGTAAATGTCACATAGTCAAAGTATCACAACTAATTAACACTGATTACTGAATTATAGTGCCTGACCTTTTTTAACAACTTATGAAGAGATTATATACATAACTTATTATGTAAGTATATGGGAAGTGGTACCAAATTAGTGGGCACCAACAATGTTCAGTTCTTTATCATTAGTTCGACTAAAAGTCTGTCCTCACCCACTTATTTTTCAATCTGTGTTGAAAACAATGAAATAACAACTCTCAACAAACAGGAAACTGATATGTGTGGTGAAAGTGAACTGTAACTAGTTAATGATTGCCAAAAGACATATATGTGAACCGAAATGTGTCTGTAAATGTGTGGTATTTGGATGAATTGATGATTCCTTTGTACTTCTTGAATGATTGATTTCGAATTCCAAATACAGTACATTCGTTTGTGGTTATCTAGTACTTGATCAAATTGTGTTATTTCTGGGATTCTTAGTACTATAATTCAAACACTTCTAATTATCACAAAATGCCATAATATACTTTGAGTTAGGACTGTTTCGTTTTTTAAGAAGCTTTTCAGATTAAAGTGTGAGAGAGTAGCCAAATAGTTGAGTATATAGTGCCAAGTGTAAGTACATACTTAAAGTGCACTCATGGAAACTAAAAGTAAGCATCCTGGAATTCTGTTTCAGATGCTAAATCCTCAGATATCACTTAGTAAACATCTCATTATTGTTATTTTATTTTCGAAACTGGAATTCATAATTGATGCACCGAAAACGCCCACTTTTACCATAGTTTGTAATTCCCACTTACAAGAACCTAAAATTTCATTGTTTCTATTCCTCTTTTAGTGCGCCATTATGTGACAATTTCCAAGGCCGTTTTTGTGCTGTATATATACGCATGAGTTGTGCGCTTGTCTGTTCGCGCTAAGGAATGCTTGTGTAATTCACTTTTCTCTCGGTTGAATTTGGTCTTCACCCTCCAACTGGCAGGGCTGGGGCCTAATAGGATGGCTTAGCTTGTCTTGTTGTTGTGTTGCTGACTTTCATTCTCTTCGTCCGTTTTAGGTGATATCGTGATTTCTTCAAACCCAGCAATATCAAACATAATATCAGGAACCAAGAGCTGTAAGTAGCTTAGTATTCATCGTACCGATCTAATTCATCCATTAAAAGCACTGATGTACAGTGAAACTATGGACTGAGAAATACCGAAAGTGCCAAGTCTTTAGACCAGTGAAGTAGACGAATCGTGTTACGGATGTCAAGTAAGTACGTGACGAAGGCAGAAGGAATAAATACTACAGAGAGTAGGGGTAACCAAAACAAGATAAAATAACAGTCTGTGAAGTCACTGATTGTCATTCTGATTCACGTAAGGAAATGTAGTGATTCAAGATATGGCTTTTGAGATTTGTTTCCGAAAACTAAAGTTGGTCAATCAAAATGGTACAGATCCACAAATGCTTATTTCGTAAATTTTCAGTTGCATTGACTATCTATCCTCTCTTGCCTCGTACCCTTTGGTGAATAATCATGTGTCTCAATAGAACAAAAACTTGACATCAAAAAGTAGGGTTATAAGTTTGCATCTAGTTCTATCAAACATCAGTCGTTTATTGATGCTAACACATTAACCAGATTTGACTGGTAGTCTGTTTTGTAGAATGTTTTCAAATTTTCAGGTAGTATGGAAGTCTCATTTCTGTTATTGTACTGAGCAGTAATTTTATGTAGTGAGAATACCATCGACCGTAAACTGTCAGTAGTTGAGTGACGCTGTTTGAAGTGAAGGGAACAAAATAGCGAAATTACATTTTACAATCATTGCAATTCATATTCAATCTTACTTCCATTTTTAAATTAATCTAATGTTTACCCAGTATAATATTTGCTTTATTTTCAATGTAATATTTCACTCAGTTCAACACTGATTTATTTTCCTATGGTGTTTCTACAACATGACATATTGTCTGTATCAAATTAACGTGAACTATGGTCAGCATGACGTGCAACTTGCAACGTGCAATTTCCTTATGATTTCATATATGTGACTTCATTTTAATTAATAATCGAGTGGGTATACAAATCAATATATAAATGAGTGTATTTTTGACTCGAGTGGTCGGTGTCGTGTTTTTTATGTGAATAAATCTCCATTTGTACCAGCAGTCTATTATGTTTTTACTTCGTGTCGTGTAAATTGTAGTGGTAGTAGTACAAATGATAAACGAAGCGTACATAACATTTCTTAACATGTCAATAAGAAAACATCTAGTTTTAAGGCAGGTGAAGCTAATGATAGTGTCATACAGCCTGAAATAGCTTTAACGTGACTTTGATACTATAAATCACTTATATAAAAGCTGGAATTAGGTTTTTGTTTCCAAACTGTTCCTATACTTTTAAAATTAGGAACAATGCATTTGGAATTTAACCAAACTTGGAAGATAGATAAACTAGTTTATGGAACGGTAGTTTTATCGTTTCATAATCGCCTTTCCTAAAGTAATTACAAGATAGTCTGAAATTTATATTTGAACAAACTATTAGTGTGATGTTATCTATTCTATTGTAGCATTAGAAGGTAGACTTCTTTATTCGAGTGACAGACAACAGATATTTTCATGTCCGATCTACGTTAAGAGCTAATAACACCTGAAGACCACGAAGTGCTGAACAGCTGTTCTGTCTAAACAACAACAATGAAAATGTAACTTACCAGGCACATTCTCGGTTTGGAGTCATACTTGTTAAGTGAGCATTGGTGATTTTACTTGACCACGTAAATCGAGGTAGATGGAAAGGGATTCTTCCAACTATGATACGTACGATATGAAAATGTACTAATACAATTACAGTCAACATCAGGTTCAGGTTTTACAGTGGGGATGGTGCTTTACTATGGGATCAAATAAACCAACTTTTTTCCAACTTATGGATCTGTGACACATGACGGTTTTCTTATGTCAACTATGAGAGTTCACCCTACGCCCAATTCAGTTAACTTAACAAGTTATGGTCACAAAGCAGAGCGCTGATAACCGGTTTACTAATGAAAACTAAACAAAAAATTGTTCAAATGAATGTCATACAGATAGAGATTTATTAAACTGATATCAAAACCACACATACATATCGTATCGGGAAATTCATACTTACAAACCGATTAATTAATTACACATGTCTTACTTATAACAGCAAAGCAAAAAAATAATTATCACAA